TATATATATATCTCAAATATATGAGATATATATATATATATATGAGATATATATATATATATAATATATAATATATATAATATATAATATATAATATAATATACATGTATACATGCATGCCAACTGTGCTTAGCTAAAGTGTTCTTTCCGTATGTTCAACATGTGCTTTTAATTTGAAGGATATATTAACATGGTTCCGGTCACGTTCTCCTATCTCCGGCTAGCTTGACGCAGCGGTGTGAGTCCAATGGAAACCTTCGTCGCAACCCAGAGGAGACAATCGAGTGCTGATTTAGCTGAAAAATAGAAGTCGATATAATCATATGGGGTTATAAACTGCATCTGTTCTCATCAGTCTGGGTTTGCGGTTCTAGCCGTTGCGTTTAAAATCCGCTATTTTACCGTTAACGTTGTCCGCTCGGCCTTGTTTATATTTGTGCAGCTTGAAGCAGGCCCGGAAACACCACAGAAGAAGAAGAAGCAGCAGCAGGCCTGTGCGAGTTTAACGTTTCGGGTCCGGAGTGTGTTTTGTGCGGATCGGCCCTTTAGCTCACCAAGTAAGTATATAAATAAGTATATAAATAACACCCGATGTTTGTTTACGGTCTATGTTTTGGAGTTTTGGCTTGTGTTAGCTGTTAGCTCTAAAGCTAGCTGTTAGCTTGAAGCTAGCGACGGCTCCAGTCTCCTGTGTTGAGCTTTTTGCTAATGCTAACGTTAACAGTAACTTAGTGCGTTATATTTGATATTTACTGCTTGATTTGTGTGTTTTAATGTATTTCACCTCATTGTGTCCTACCAGCGCTGATGTTAGCAGTATGTATACTATATATATAATAATATATAATATAGTATGTTAGCGCCATTAGCTCGCTGCTAAGCTAACGTTAGCTTTGTTTTGTCTCACCAGCTGGCTGAGAAGAACTCGAGCTGTTTGCTAGATATTCTCACACCTCGCTGACGTTACGTCATCTATTTTATTAATCTGATTATACATTTAATTTGCTGCTTAGAATGATACAAATCATCAAAAACACATTTTATTATTTGGGAGCAAAAACATTGAGAGAGAATATTTATTTGAGTTAGTCGTTTATCAACTTGACTGGTCAATGTTGTTGCAAACTTAAGTAATACAAGTTATGTAAGTGTCTACATATTCTCACACGTGTGTATGTGCGTGTGAGAATATGTAGACACACATGCACACATATTCTTGATGTGAGGAATCACATCCGTGATGTCGGTGACAAACAGTCCTATGAACTCTATTGTTATCGTGTGAACTCTGACCTTTCTGCTCTCTCCTCTCAGAGAATATGACCCAGATGCCACAATGACATCCAGATTTGGTAAAACCTACAGCCGCAAGGGAGGAGAGGGCACGTCCAAGTTTGACGAGGTGCTGTCCACCAAGAGAGGCACCCTGAGCACCAAATGGGGCGACACCACCTACAAGGCCAAGGTGGGATCCAAGCGCGTCGGCGCGCCCAAGAACGACTCGGTCCTGGAGGTTTACAAGAGGCCCCGTCCGAGCGGAGACGGCTTCGAGGATCCGTTTGGATTTGACAGCGACGAGGAATCCAAGCCGGTTTCGTCTCGCAGTGGAAACAAGTCGTCGCCCGCTAAGCCGAGCTCCGCAGAGCCTCCGCAAGCGGAAAGGCCGGGGCTGTCTCTGTCCAGCCTCCAGGGGGGGTCCCACGCTTTGACGTCTGCTCGAGGGACGTCGTGGCTGCCCAATGACCAGAACCAGCCCAGGGTGGTGGAGGACACGGCTCAGTTCTTCAACAGCAGCAGTGCCAGCATAGGTAAGACACACAATATGAAACCTTTAAAGCCTGAACCTGGACTACGACTGCATCTGCAGTTATTCAGTATCAACTCATCTATTCATTAATGTAGTTGCCCAATGTCTAAAATGTCGTTAGAGGTCTTTAGAGGACTTTAAAGTGGTGTCCTAGTGGTACTAATTTCATTAATCGGCAGTAAAAAGACAGTGACTTTATATTTATATTAACAGAACAGCGAATGACATGACGACGGCTTTTCTAGATTTAGTACAGCAACGTATTGATTGGTGTTTAAAGCACACAACAACCCCCGATTTAATTTAGTTTAATTTAATTACAGTGTGGTCACAATGCACTCGCTGAATGTGCTGACGTGTGATGCTCTAAATGCTCCGTACTTTGGTCTTTTGATATAGTGGCGTGAATAATATTCTTTGAATCTATTGATGTCAACTCTGAGCGGCTTCTGTCGGGTGGTAGAAGTTAAGCCTTCACTGAACTTATTTATTATCTGAACTTCTGGCCGGGATGAGCTCATCGTGAGCCCTGATTTTCATTCATAACGGATTGAAAACAAGCGTCGATGGACAGATGCCATCTCTCCGTCTCATCCTGAGGCTCGTGTGAACCAAACACACATTAGTTTTGGCACAAAACAAAAATCATTAAGTGTCTTCCCTTCAGTTTCTAGATTTAGAAGAAATCAGTGTTGTAGTTTCTCTACACGCAGCCGGTCGCTTTCAGCTCGATTGCTCCTCAGCCTTCCGTGACTGCTGCTGGCCTCCTGCCAGAGACGAGAGCCACTCGAACCGACTCCCAACGACAAGCTAGGCCTCTGAGCACGGTCCAGTGCTGGGACACTGAGCCACATGTGAAGGGATGCCAGCGCGATGCTGAAGTTCATCTGAAACTCTGCCACGGCTATGTTGACTCAGTAAATAGGTCAAAATCCTTAAACAAATACTACTTTAGATAAAGTATGGCAATACTGTAGAGTTGGCTGTTGCTACTTTCAGACTGGTGTTTATATTCAAGAAGATTGTGAAACACTGTTAAACAATTAACTGCAAAAACTACATCATATAAGAAGCTGGTTATCCCCTCTGTCCGACTTTTAATGAATCCACAAAATGTACAAAGATAATGAAGAGATATACTTGAATTTGTTTATTTAATCCTACATTAAACGTTCTGTGTGTCAGGAAATATGGATTTCATGGTTTTATTTCGGTGAATCTGAATTTGTGTTTCAGAATGTAAAGTTCTACATGACGTTTGGATGTTTAGTTCAGACCAAATTGTGCCGTGTTCTGCATTATTGGATGTCCTGAAGTAAATCCTCAGGATCAGGATTGAGGCCAATCTGCTATTCTTCACATTGAACATTGTCTGTTAGCGTCTCTTAAACCACCTCGCTGTCGTCCTTTCAAACCACTGTTAGTCATTGTTGTGAGAGAAACATGAAGTGACACAAAGCGAACAGAAGCCTCTCGTTGTAGTTGATATGTGGACGTGTGTGAGCAGAGATTTTCAGGCTTTCTAACTTCATTAGTTTGTCCTTGATGGGTATGAAGAGAGGCACACATAAAGGAATAAACCATTCAAAGTGTCATTAAATGTTCTCCTATTATAGTGTTGGTGTTGCCATGGCAGATATATATTTTACATGCAGAGAGATTAAGCTATAAAACCAATTTTAATAGATTTACGACTCGTAGGCTAAATATGCACTGTGCAGGTTTTGATGAAACTGTTATTTAAACATTTCGTTGACGTTAAAGCTGTGGTGGCACACCCAGCTTCCACTTCACTCTATCAGGGTCACCAGTCGTTTTGGGGCTGACTGTATCATCACAGACGGTTTATTTAAAGGACGTGGCAGCGTTGAGGATAAGACTTCACGTTGTTCGTGGTGGACTTTTTTTATTACTGAGTAACTGGTTATGAAAACCACTGTGAGGTGGTCAGAGTGCAGTAGTTAGTTTAATTCATGAAAGAATGGTGTTATGATCGTATTTAAGACTTCAGACTGAGCATATTTAGGGTTAGATTAGTTCTCTAAGGAATGTTACACGATGAAGCTCATCAGTCCTCGACTGAGTCCTCACACCCCCACAGCCCGTGTGTCCTTGAGCAAGACTAGAACACCTCCTCCTCCTAACGCCGCCCTCTCTGGATACCTCGACTAACGGCCTGAAACAAGTCCAATGATCGATCAGACTTCACCATCTTAGACCTGCTAACTGTCTAACAGAGCTCCTGGTCGTCCACACTAACTATGTGTTTGTGCACAACGCTCTGTTGGTTGCAGTCTTCTCTGAAATGCTAGAGGGCGGACAAACTAAATATGCAGAAATCCATCATAACGTGAGGGATGGACGGGTTGTGCATCTCTTCCAGCTGTCTGCTGGTCTCCAGTGACTCTGTTCATTTGTCTTTTCACAGCGTTACACTAACTACTGATCCTCATTTCACAGCCGACACTGTTGCTGCTCTACAGCAGTTCACACAAATGCACTCCATTCTGCAAATGTTTTATCCTTTTATTTCTCAAATTTGCATTTGTCAAATCCGCTGTGAAGACAGTGAAGCAGCAGAATGGCCTACTTTCTAGGTCTGCTGTGCTTCGATAACACGGCCTTTACAACAACCCACAGCTGTTTCACAGACACAGATGTCCTCTGATGTTACGCTGTGGAGCAATTTCCTGTGTTTGCTCAGAGTAACGAGTCCACTGTTGTCACTCGCTTGTTATCTGTGACGACAGAAATGGCCACAGGGTGCTAATAGTGTGAGTGTGTGTGTGTGTGTGTGTGTGTGTGTGTGTGTGTGTGTGAGACCTGTTTTCAGTGTGTGATGGTGCTTTTTTTAAAATTGGTGCAATCTTTATGCACATCTCCGTTGTGCTCTTCAGCCTGTGAAGTTAACCAGAAGCACACAGTGTGTTGTATGGTTGTACAGATAGTATTGTGTAGGTTGTAACGCTCCAGTATTCACTATGAAGACATGGAGCAGGTTTGAAAACTGTGGACAGATGTCAGCTGTCTGGAGGTAACGTGTCGGCAAACACATTATTAAAGAATTAAATCTGATTGCCTTGAATTTAACAGCATCCATAATAATTCTGCATATCAACCGATTGACTTTCCCCTTTAATTGCTAAATTGTCCTTTTGTTCAGATCAATTACTCTGTTAGTAAGTCCGGTTCAGAGAATACAATGTGTTATTATATATCGTAGCACCACTGACTGTTGACATTGAGGCTGAAATAATAAGTCGATTAATTGGTGAGAGTTGATTATCTTTGGGGGTTTTGACTGTTTCTCGTCAACTTGTGATGTTTGAGTTTCACCATTTTCTGACATTTTATAGACTAAACGACTAATAATGAAATGTAATGCATATTAAAGTAGCTGTAAATATTACAAGCTGACATAGTTCATATTAAGGTTAAATAAACTAACTTCACTTTAAAACACACAAACATTTCTCTGATATTTTACTGATTCTGAGTCTGTTTTCTTTTCTGTAGGAAAGTCCCAGCAGACTTCCTCGCTGTCAGAGAACCAGCACAGCTACTCGTGGTACCAAAATGCTTCTGAGAGTGATAAGAAGCCCCTGGCGCAGACCACCACCCTGAAGACGGGGTCCAAGGCAGAGTCCACCTACGACTCCTGGGACGCCATCATGGGTCTCCGTCCGCCCTCGCCCAGCCAGGAACCTCGCAACCCGGCCCCGACGCTGTCCTGGGCTACAGCAGGCATCACTGTGGGCAGCTCTGAGCTCCGGCAGACCCGGCATGTTGAGATGCCCCCCTCTCCCCCACGGCTCCGGAGCCCCAGTGAGAGCCTAGAGGACCTAGGGGGCGACTCTGACTTCCTTGTGGAGCCGTCTGACTACTCCCAGACTTCCTCCAACGCCTCACTTGTAAGAAACTCTAACTGTCGGACTTACAGGAGGCCCAACAAACAGGGCTCTGGCAAAACCTCGGACTCCAGCGGCTCTGCCAGCACTGCTTCTAGCTCAGATCCTCCCAAGTCCACATCGGACGGCAGTAATAAGACGGCGGGTGGTGGTCGGGGACGGGGCAGGACGAGGGACTTCACGGTGATGCACCCCTCTTCTGTGTCCATGTGTAATGTCACCATCCAGGAACGAGGAGGGGAGGAGTTCAGCACCGACGCGGCGCCCTCTAGTGGTAGCAGCAGTGCCGGGTCCGGCAGCACCACGGAGCTGGGAGAGGCGGGATGGCAGCGGAAGAAGACGGAACAACAAAACACAAGGTAGAACCACAATCGTCTTTATTATTATTATTATTATTATTATTATTATTATGTTCAAATGGACCGGCAACAAGTGAGACGACTCTGTTTGGGTTTCTGAGGGCCGGCTGGATAATCTCATGAAGCCTGTTTGTATAAGGATGCCAAATGTGAGAAGAAAGCTTTGTTGTAAACATGCAGACATCTCCAACATGGGCGAGGAGGCAATTATAAATCATATGCAAGATCATAAACACCAGTCCTGTCACAACATCCTCTGCTCACAGAGTCACAAAGTCAAACACGGTCTGAAGATCTTCTGGAAATGTGAGGGTGTAGAGTTGTGCAGAATGTGTGTGAACCCTGGACTCTAGTGGCCGCTGGTCAGTTTTTAAACAAACATTGCCGTATTGCTTATTACTAACGCAGTACCAGTTTGATTTACTGCTGTCACAGGTTGCCGGTGGAGCTACTCATTAACGGGTTATAATGACAAATACCGGTTCAGCTTGTTTGCATTAAATCAAACCGGTTTGGAACACCAGACCTGCAGAACAACACCAACCTTTCAATCGTAACGTTTACTTTGACTGTTTTAGTTTAGTCGGTTCATAAACCAACGGAACTTCTTCCACTTCTACTCGAAACATGGCAGACTGAGGTTTAAGTACATTAGTCTAAAATGATGCACAAAGCCTCCAGAATGTTTACATTTGATGAAATGATGCAGCCTTAAAAAGTCTTTTGAAACATCACATAGCTTCAATAAAGAGCTGCACCAAACAGAGTATTCAGGTGCATTGTACTGTAACTCGGAGTGCAACAACCTGGAAGTGGAAACAGGGAGAAACCTAAACGTTTGGATTAAACCAGATTTCCTTCCTGTCTGAATTCTGTCTCCTTCAAGAACTGAAGACATTCACGGTTTCTCGCCGTCTGACTTCAGACTGATTTAAGTTTGTGATTAAAGGTTAAAGCAAATGTCTTGAACAGGGTTGTTTAAAGATGTCTGCTTACGCACACAGGGATAGTTGATCATTTTGTGAAGCTTTGCATTTCATGCATCCCCGAGGTTCCGGGTTTCATTTCTGACTGATTTCAGCATTCAATCATCTACGACATATCTGGCTTTTATACTTAATCCTCTTTATTTACCAAAGACAACAAACGCATTCAGGTTTGCTCTCAGTCCCGCGGTTGAAATGAACAGATTAGTTAGTCGACTGGGGAACAAACATTTGGCAGGTTGCTCCTTCATGTCGACACATTTAGTTGAAGCCTGAAGTTGGAAACTAATGAATTCACTTGAGAGGTTTACAGACTTCACTGCAGGATGCCGACTGAGTGAATCATTGAAAAATGTCTTTTTTTTAATTCACAAACCAGCTTTGTCATTTTCCTAACTGCAGGACGTAAAGCATGTTTTCTCTGACCTGTCCTCAGGTTCAAACCAACCCAGACAAAGCCAAAGAAGGACAGTAAGCCGGACCTGTTTGGTTTCGAAGACGCAGACGCTCATCAGGAGGAGAACAGCGGCGACAACTCAGACGGACGATCCAGTTACAAGATCCAGTACTTCGGCTTTGACGACATGAGCGACAGCGACGGCGCTGACGACGATGACGGCGCTAAAGAGAGGAGGAGGGCCAAGAAGGCTGCGGCCGCCCAAAAGAGAGAGAGAACCCCGGTGGTAGAACCCATGGAGGAAACACTGACTGAAGAGCCGCCGGATCCCTTCGAAAACCTGGAGAGGCTGGAGAGACTGGAGAGGCTGGAGAGACTGGAGATGCTGGATCGACCGGCAGCCAAGGAGAACAAGAAGAACTCTGAGAGGCAGGACAGCCGGATACGAGCAGGTCAGAACACATACATGTGTATGTACTGTATACATATAGGGTAGTTTGGATGTTTTGAAGTGTAATTGTGTGAGAAGATGAGCTAAAAAGCGTGACAAGCAGCATAACTGGATATAGACAGAGTCACTGTTATTTATTACTATGAAGTATCTGCATTAAGGGTCTAATCCACAGCTAATGTATTGCTGATGTGATGCATGTAGTAAAGGGTTCCACTCCTCCTGACTGGCTGTGAAGTTCTGGTTGATGGTGACTGTGTGTTTGGTCTGCAGACGTGATGGACTTCTCAGAGGACGGCCTCAGAGTGGTCGCCGGGGCTCCCAGGAGGCCGTCTCCGGGCAAAGCCACCGAGAAGAACCCGGACACCTTCCGGAGGATCTTCAGCGCGCACAAGAAGGTCAGAAACAACGCCACGTTCACCCACGTCACTGCTAACAGGCTCACACCAAGGCTCACACTGCATACACATACACTATAGATCACCGCTAGCTTTCATGTTACAGCCTCAAACGTCACTTGTTAGAATCCATGGATCTGCTGTGAATGTGTAGACCAGGAAGTATAAATATAATGCAAAATACTGACAATAATCACGTCGTCCTGCTGCCGACTGGTGGTTTGATTGATTCCATGTCATGTTCTTGTCAATAAATCCCATAAAATGAGCCAAACCAACAACAACAACATATCATCTTCATCTTCCTGCTCCGTCGTTGTCCAAACACTGTAGCAAACACATCAGTGAGCCACACTGGGTCACGTTGGTGTAAGAGCCACATGTGTGTGTTCATGTAGTGGATGTAAACTAAACGGAGCAGCCTTTATTGATTTTATATTGACTCTTAAAATGAGCTGTATTTCACTTTTGACTTTTAAAGATGAGCTCAATAGTACTCATCTGTTAGTATGGTGGCTCACGTGGGTCATTCTGTGTATGTGAAGCATATTTAAACCCTCAACTTTAAAACCTTTCCTCGTTACATTTCAAAAAGAGGTGTGTGTGTGTGTGTGTGTGTGTGTGTGTGTGTGTGTGTGTGTGTG